GGGGTAAAAGATGAGAGGAGAGGTTGGGTGGGGGATGGAAAGATGGAGAGATGGAAAGAGGAGAGAGGCTTGGAGGGCATTAGTGTCAGATCAATAGAACAAAGTGCTCACACTTTATGTATCACCCACCCACCGGTGCGGATCATTGGGGACGGGTGAAAGTGAGGACCCTCAAGGATTTATCCACAACCTCACCTCTTCCACTCTGTGTCAGAAACATGTCTACCACCTCCAACACAATAGCAATAAATATAGACGGTCTTCTCTCACCCCCAGTGAAAACTGACCCCCAGGTCAGCTACTGGTTTTAGCTCAGACTGGATTTTGCATTTATAGAAAAATTCTAATTGATCACAAGGACAGAATTTATAGAATGTGTCAAAAACGCTGTCTGTTTCATCAGACGTGGTCGTGTTGCCATGCCATTCATCTGCCATATGGAAATGTCAGTGAACAATCATCAGCAATTAGCTGATTCATCTTTCAAAGCCACCAAAGCAAAAGGCCAAATTTGCATAAGGATACAAAAGGACAGACTTACATCAGAGACACAGGCTGTACAAGCCAATGATCACGCCTGAAAAAGTGTTCATTACTATTAAAGCTCTCAATAATCAATCATTTTCATTCAGTATACTCTTTTTCGTTATGCAAAAGAGATTTTTGCATTTTTTAAGTTTTATGGCCAGCAAAGGGCCTGTTAACCTCCTATGTGTTCTGTGTGAGTCAACGCATCCTTATAATGATGAATGAAGACTGTGTAGTCTTTAGGAATGCATTGATATGGGAATGGTGGGTCCATCCGTCTTGGGATAAAGTGGACTTATTTTGTTCTTGACACCAGCTGAGCGAGGTAATCCATCTGAGGTAACTGAGAACTGAACTTTTTTCTGTCATTACTGAAGATCAACAAAACCTTCAAACATCAGAAACAGTCTTTTCTCTATGTGTTAATAAAACCTGTTCACTGTCAGTTGAGGATCTAATTGATTCTTTCCATGATGGTTTAACTGGGGGATTATTTGTTTGTTGGTGTTCATTGGTTTCAAAATGTAAACATCCCCTGAAGGCAGATCAGAATGTTATTAATACTATATTAATGTATGTTTTCATTTAATTATAAAAAATGGATGTATGCTTTTGCTTTATATAATATAATATGTATATAATATATATAATTATAGTATGTATATAATAATAATAATAATAATAATAATAATAATAATAATAATAATATATTGGGCATTATATTATCTTGTGTTAAATTTGACCAAAAAGTTATAAAATATAATAGTATTTATTAATATATATCATGCATAATGAATGGCAATGAACATACAATAAACTAAAAACAAAGTTCAGTTTTCCCCCATTTCCTCTCTTTATTTATATGTTCTGAAAACATCTCAATCTGGTCTGAGGCCTTGTTTAAGCTATGTCTGGGCTCAGACTCGACTACTACAATGTCTTGGTCTTTGACTTGGACCCCAGATCTCAGTCTTGAGTGTTACACTAGAAATTGGGATTAAATCTATCTGGATTAGTGTTATGGAGAAATATAACATTAATTTGTAGAGAATTACACATGCATTAATAAAACGTAGATATTTTAGCAGAGTAGTACAATAAGTACATCATCAAATGTCAGTTTGAAATATCAGTCAAATCTGTCTAATGCCAATCATTTTTCTGCAATTATCTGCTAATACCAGCATGATGATATCGTTGTGCATTACTTGTAGTTTTATAGATTATTACATGTCAAAATACAGAGGCTTGGTTCATCTAATGTACACAACAAAGGTACAGCTTTGAATAGAGGAATCAGTGTACATTATAAATCATTACTTACGCACAGACACGCACCCACACAAATGTTCAAGCACATACACAATCCCAGGAGAGAGGACAAGAGTAATTGAGCCATGGGGGGGCTGACTGGTGTTTGAGTTCAATGAGGGGCCTATGTTGGCATGGCGACAATGATCACCAATCAGCCCTGATATAACAGGATTTCAGAATCCATTCATTTCACTAAAAAAAGAAAAAACTGTGTCCCATCTGGAAGCTGCTGTAACTGGCCAAAACAGTACTGTATATACAAAGAAAATAAACATATGGGGCCTTTGCTGTTAGACTAGTGCAGTGTGGATCTTTGAACTCTGATTGGCGTGTTTAAATGCTGGGGGGTGAATGTTGCTAAGACACAGAGATGGGAGCAAAAGCCTTGTGAAAAAAAAATACAGCAAATAGAGGCGGAGTGCTGAGTTATTTCATCAGCGTTTCAAATAAGATTAACTTATGCATTTTCATTTAGCTGTGATGACAAATGAAAATTGGGCTGCTTAAGCCAATTAAGCGAAATTAAACACAAAGAGGCAATTAGTTTGATGAAGAGGTAATATGAAAACCTTATGAGAATTACCATACTTTGGAAAATGTAACTTTAAGATTAAAAGACTGCATCACCCTCGAATGTTAATGCTGCTAATAATGAATGAAAGCTATAGAAAGCAGTTATGCAGATGAGGACACAGTATATCCACTAGACTCCATGCATTGTTGTCAGTATTTGGTGGAAATTCTTCAGCTGCTGCTTTAGAGAGGAACTAACTTGCATAACTAATGCATGGATTGGGTGCTGTATGTATTTTCACTCACTCCCACCTAAATTAATCACTTTTTTGGTGTGTAAAAGCCTCTATTGTGACTGGCATAAATGTATGTCAGTTGACATATTTCACCTTATTTTCACACCCCTACACTAGATGGCACTAGAGGAGTGGCTCCAGTGGAACACTAGTTCAGGGGTATTATATGTCAACACTGATGTTCCACCAGCTGCCATTCTTTGCTATTAAAACTGAAGTAAAATCTTAGTATATAGTGAAAAATGATATATTCAGTGTTTACATGTTGGCAGTTTAATAAATGCAGCTAGTGGGGTGGGATAACGGGATACATTTGGGAAATATAAGAAATTGTGTTCACCCTTTAAACTCTGAGTTCTAGTACTTCACTCATAACTACATAACTTACATATTAGTTTAGTAGTAGTTAATGAATAATTTATTATAGGTATTTAAAAAATCTATCTTAAGATTAATGACTGAATAGTACGCCTAGGGTTCAAGAGGTTAATCAGAAAAGACCACAGCAAAATCATCAAAACAATAGTTTGATGATAAAAAAATCAATTTGAGAATTGCTTGGGAAAGCCCTCACACTGATCCAAAGAAAACAAAATCTTGGCTTAGGCAAGATCAGACATACTACAAGATGGCTGTTCAGAACATAGTACTGAAAAAGACTGTGGGTGGCTGAAATGTGTTTTTGTACTATGTTTCCTTATTAAAGATCTTGCTTAAGCCATTTTCAGCCTCCTTTTTTGATTAGCATGCTTTTCCCAAGCAATGTTTTGTGCTTAATCAGCATAGGAAAAATACAGAGAACTGAGAGTTTGTCCACACCTGAAGTCTCGCTCAGTGCTCTGCTGTATCAGCTCCACTCTGTGCTGAAGCGCGTAGGTTATCTGCCATCTTGACTTCAAGAAACCGTATTTTGAAGACCTGGATCCATTTATTCAGGAAATAAAATGTTCAGGAACAGAAGGCACAGAGCTCTTGCCAACCAGTTAAAGAGGGTCCAAGAGACACCCACCAGACGTCTGTGCTTCCTGACACAGTCGCTCTGTAATCATCCAACAGATGGCCCAAGGTTTGCTCTCTCTGCTTCAATTACTGCACAAATAAACCAATGACAGAAATAAACACATCGTCAAGGTTCACACACTTGGTATTTTCTCCTTTACTGCTGATGTAATGTCTTCATTGGACTGACCCCTCTGCTCTGTGGGTCTCTGTGTGTGTGCGCTGTTATACGACCACCACGGTGCATCAGCAGAGCTTTTTATGTATTTTATCTTTCTTCCAAAATCTCTCAGCTCTGAAAATAGCCCTCATTTGAACAGCGGGGGAGAATGGAAAAATCCCACCCATCACACAAACACAGCCTATCTCACAGTCACACACACACACACACACACACACCTCAGTGCGCTTTTTTCAAGGCCAGGGAATACGTCAGACTCACCTCTGGCAGATTAACTATAGTTGCATTTACAGTTGCCAAGCAAATTTTGTGCTTGCACAAACCATTATGGTACAGCTCTGCGCAAACGTCAGAGACCACTCGTCATTTCTTCAATTCACAGCCATTAAGTTATTTATTCTTAGAGCTTTCATCTTTGAGAGAGACGAGAAAATGAAGCTACACTCTTACTGGAGATCTGAAAACATCCACAGTTGTTTCTGTCCATCCTTCCACTGTGGGAAGACAACTCAACACTATGAGTCTGAAAGGATGTGTAGCTGACAAGAAGACATTACTGAGAAAAGGAAACAGATAAAAAAGAACATTTGCAAATCAAACAAAAAAGCTGCTGGAGTTTTCAGAAAAATGGACTGACCACCCCAGAGTCCAGACCTCAACACCACTGTGTGTTCAGGATTGCAGCAGAAAATGCAACCTTGCAAAAATGCATCCCTGCAGAATTTCTTTGAACAACTGAAAGCAAATCTCTTAAAACTAATAGAAGGTGTAGTAAAGGCAAGGGGTGGACACATTAAATAGTGAAAAATTATCAATGGCCGTTTCGACAGGAAATAAAATAAATGAAGGGCGCTCTGTCTTTTGTACAATACTGTATGTGTTTACAGCACGTGTTGAAAATGGGACACTGGAAACTGAACCCATGTATAGAATTTAACATGTAATATTTAACAAAATAATAATAGTATGATAATAATCATATAACTTTGTTAAGATAAAAAACAAGCAATACAGGTTTTATACATGTTAACTTCAACCCTTTGAATGATGTAGATGAACGCTGAATAACAGTGACATTCCACCTAACATAAGGTTTCACGGGGGCACTGTCACATAGAAATCAGATTTACTGTATGTGTGGAATAGAATGAAGACACCATGAGAAAAAGTAATATAGTAATATTTATTTATTCAATATTAAATTTAGAGTTGTTGAAATTTCATTCTCGAACTCTCAAGTGGGGAAACTTAAATATAAATGAAATGTAAAACTGTTAGTAAAACCTGGAAACTAATATTTTTGTGCTTTTTAAAATACAGAAACACTTTACAAGTCTAGTATGCAGAGAAATCAAAGAGGCAGATGACGGTATTGAATAATGATTCTAATACATAGATCTCAGTAATATGATGAATCATCACTTGTGGAAATTACAGTCCTCTCGTTGTGCTTGGAATATGTTTAATGAAGCTGTTGATGAATTCCGTCAGTTGAGATGGCAGGAAGAAAAAAATCTCCACAGCTCACAAAAGAGCATGAATCAACCTAAAACTCTGTTACAATGTACAGTGATCACAGCAAAGGAAGATAATGGTGAAAAACAACAAACTCAACACATCCTCACATCTCAGATTTTAGTAACGCTTCTTTGACTTCCACTTGATTTCCTTGTAAGCCAAACACGTCATCGTATTATTTACAAATTCAACGATATATCTACATAAAAACATACATTTGAAATTAAAACTTGATGCAAGTTATCTGAAACCCAAAATTCATGAAAATCCATCCATTCACTGACAAGGGTCTTAATTTTGAAAGATGGACAAAAATAGGATTATACAAAGTAATATGAACACATTGTTTTTACACGCATATGCACAAAAGGTTTAGTGCGCACACACACACACACCTCCAGCAACCATGCTCAAGCGCACACACACACACACACACACACACACACACACACACACACACACACAATCCAAACCCAGTGCACTAAACTATCAACCAATGTACTGAAACTGAATTAGGCAAAGAGCAAAGCCTGCAACGTCCATTCTGTTGCTCAGAAAGAAAAAAAGACCCAGATTAAATCTGAGAAAGCCAAATGCCCTTTCCATTAACCTTATGAATATCATTTCCAGTTCATGTAAACACCTTCTTGCTCTTTCTCTACACCCAATTGCCTTCGCACTAGAATAGCTGCTGTAAATTGAACCGGAACTGCACTTCTCAAAAAAGGCACAATGTAGTAAAAGGCCACCCTGCACCCGTTATCATGGCCGAATGCAGCTGCTGCACTAAAAGGGGTGCATGAATGAAAACTGTTCCTGGATTTCAATCTGAGGAATTCACGCATCGAAGCCGTTTTGGGTTGCTATGGCTTTTGGTTGCCATGGGAACCATGAGAGTTCGCATGCAGGTCAAGGTGATGACAGTGGACAGCTAACGAGGCTCATGCATGTCGGAGCGCCTCAGCATGTGCAGATGCAGTATGAATACATTTTGGGTGTGAGCAAAAAAAAAAAAGAAAGAAAGAAAGAAAGAAAAAAAAAGCCAAATAAGGGTGGCGCAGTGTTGGGACAATGGCACCTCTGGAGTTTGTCTGAATGTAATTTAAATATCTGATCTGCCCTATCATCCTTAAGATCACACATTCCATCCATTATACAGGATAAAGTCTTTCTTTCTACAACTATTTACATACATATTTTTGTCTTGTCAAAAAAGACGTAATTATAATAATAAGTGTACATTTTAGCAAAAATTTTGCAGCACTGGTTCGTTTTGCATGTACATTTTTCATATAATACTCAAAACATAAAGAAGGCATACCCAGTATTTCAGAGAAGCACCACAAGGCCCAAGTAAATGAGCTACTTCTTTCTTAAGCTGCAGGCTTCATAGTTGCAACAATATGTTTTGTGTAATAGTAGCACATTATGCATGCAGCACTGACATAACTGTGTTTTAGGAGTAACGGAAAGGCTGCCTGATGTTAGTGAGTCTTTCATAATTTATGCAACAATCACTGATTTCCAACACATCTGTCCTCAGTCCACATCAGCATGCCAGTTTAAGTGCATTCCATGCGAGATCTCTCAAAAGACTTTTTTAACTCTAAATTTATTCTCTCCTTCTTTTGACTTCGTTTTCCTGTAACAGGCAACTATTTGGAGGTCGAATCATGCTGAACAAGTCCTACTTGCATCACCTAGTTCCCCTGCGCTTACACAAAAGAGTTCATGGCGTTAACAGGTGAGGGGGCCTCTGAGCTCTCGTGACCCTGCACAGTGTCCCTTTCTGTCTTTCCGCTATACTGCCCGATAAAAGAGCCGTCCTCGTTGAACTGTCCATCTCCGCCTTCCCCGTAGTCAACTAAACTGTCGTCACTTTCGTCTCGCTTTACGGTGCCACTGGACGGGGTGCGGCTCCCTTTTAACGGTTTATGGTCCTCATTGTCACTAGGAGAAAATAACATGCAGGTGTTACAGGGGGAATGATGAAAGATGTCGCACACAGATTAGCTTGGCTGTTCATGAAAAAAGATGGAACACTGATGTGAACAACATGCCTGGTATAATCAAGAAAAATGTGCCATATGTAGTGTCAAAGGTTACTGTAGGTCAAAGTGAGATAATAGTGCCATTAGTATCAAAAAAACATCGTGTTACTATTAAGCATCCGATTGATTGACCGTTCTGGTTAGGGCTGGGCAATATGACAATATTTATCATTATAGTCACAATATGTCATAATATGCTTTCCTGAGCATGTTGTGGAGACGGTCAGTCCTTAAAAACACTGAACAACTGTTTTATTACAAAGACAGCATAATTAGACCTATTTTACTGGATTTAGTGCCATGCAGTATGTGAAATGTTGAATACATATCACTGTATTCAAAGTTTCTGATAGTATTTTTTTAAAGTGACACTACTTTGTTCCAACTTCTCAGAAAAAAATAAATATTCACAAAAAAGTCTTTGTGAAAACATCTTAAAGTATCCGGATAATTACATTTTGCCATATGGCCCACCTCTAGTTCTGGTATATTCCAATGTATTTGCAAATAAGTGATAATATGTTTTCAGTAAAAAAAAAAATACATTTAAAAACAGTTTAAAAATTCAGTTTGATTCATGGTTTATGGGGTAAAAATCAAAGCAAAACTGAATTATGAATAACAAGCATGTCAAATATGTCATTCTCAAAATGTCAATATTCAAAAGCCAGAACATGAATCAAGGGTGTGAAGTTACAATATATAGAAGCACACTCTCTTCACAAAGGATTAAACTACTCAAGCCCCCAGTAATTACCAACATTGATGTTAAGGTTAGAGCTACTATCTTGGTAAAACTGACTCCATGAATGCTTCTACAGCAGCCTGTAATTACAAAAGGTTCTTCATTTATTTAATTTATAACTGCGTCAGCAGTTTCCACCAATAGAATAGAAGTGATTAAATAGGTAATTTTCTGAAAGAGCAGATTTTTTTTAGTTACTGTTGTTAATTACTGAATGCTCCAGTCATTTTAATCTCAGCGAATAAGGCTTATATCGCTATGTCACATGAGCACTGACCGTGCGCAGCCATTGTACACATTCATTATCCAGACATCATAACACAATGATGTGATCAGGTAAGCAGATACGTAACAGCCAAACATAAACAAATGATCAGTTGAGACAAAATGTGAAATTAATTCAGTTGACTTGAAATAAACATGTGATGATCTGTTGTAATGTACAGTACATAAACTTAAATTGAGTCCTTTGCCATAGAAAAGCTCTGCAATGCTATCATAAACATTTAAAATATCAATAACGATGTGCTATTGTCTCTGAACTCACCGCAACTAACTGTTAGCAGTTGGGACTATATGAAGTCATGTGTATGATAGCATTTAGCTTCATGGCTGGGGAGTATGAGTAAAGTGTAATCCTGAAACGACGTGGAAGGCTTTTTTCTCTTCTAATCTCAGTCAGCTTTCCACATGCACGTTTTGCAGTCTCCTCCTTACCTTCCCCCACACCTACATCCAACCGACAGAACACAGATCGCAGAGAGAATGAACAACAATGGTCAAAAAGGACGCTCATACTGAATCTCTGACCGGGACATGACATACAGGAAGCTAAGATCAACTCTTTAAACTACTGTGAGCCACTGTAATGCAAGACAAGGGCAGGAGCTTCAGAGGCTCTGATCTGAAGAAGTGAGTGTCACTAACTCATTTAACCATGGAGGCTTGTCTCGACCTCGACAGAGCAAGAAATCAGAGCCACATAAACACACACGAGAGTCATTACAGAAGGTGAATGTGGAAAAAGAATGAGGACCAGACAACAAGTGAAATGGTTAGTCGTTGGGGTTAGAGGGGTTAAACATGGGAGGGTAATAAAAACGCCCTCATTAAAATTCACAAAACAGCGTAAATATGCTTCAGTACATAAAAACATGATGTATAAACAATGAAAAAAGCAAAAATCATCACCTAATTGTCACCACTGGGCTCTATGAGTATACAGTATTTCTACAGGTCATGTACACCCAGCTATTCAGTTCTTATGTTACAGTTGCATGTTCTTCTGTCTTCATCACAGTACTCATCACAGTCTCATAAGAAACTTCTACAAAATACTCCAGTCCAGCAAGCTGATACAATGAGTTTAAATGGAAAAGTAGAAATAAAAAACCATCTTGTTAGCAGAAAACTATGGCCCTCTGTTGTGCTATGCACTGAGTCATACGTAAACTTACATATATTCATGACTTTGTACATCACCCACTCAAAACATTTACCTAATGACATTTCATGTACAGCCATGCATAGTACATTAAGTTATATATATTGTCATTTAGATTAATTACAAATTGAAAATAAAAGGAAAGCAAATGAAAAAAGCTGTTAATAATACACAAAAAAATATTAAGTATAAAACAAAGACCAACATATTTAAACATAAACCAAAAATAAAGTCCAAAAAAATGTTGAAAAGTACTATACAAAGTAAAGTGCTTCAATTTTATCGCTTATGTGCGCGCAACTTGATAAGCAGCTAAAGACCAGGAAGAAACTGATTACAATAGCAAACATCATAAGAAAATTGCTTTCAGTAGTAAGAGAATCCTCTCTGTGCTCTGTAGACTGAATGTTTTCATAGTCACTGTCGTACCAACACCTTTGCACACATTTTTTTTGGATTTCATTTTCTTACACCATTTGAAAATGTCTGCTGCTCCTCAGGCTGCAAACATTTTATAAAACAGACAAATAGAAAGTGTTCTTCTACAATAAGGTGTACCATCTAAAATCTGAGACCACCAGTGAAAATGCTTCTATTTTGCATTCTTTTCTAATTTAATACAACGTTTTGCATTATAAATAATTTTATCAGCATAACAAAAGTAGAATCTTTTCAATCTTTACATGAATTTCAGAATTTCTCAGTAATTTGGTAAGACCCCCTTTTGCTTTAATGATGGCATGAACTTGAGCTGGCATCAACTCCACAAGTTTGTGCAATAGCTTCTGATCAGTGGATCATGGAACATGGTCAATATCACCAATTTGCTTAAATTCATTAGTGACCTAGAAATAGTAGAATCCTGAATATTTCTTTTTTATTTTACTTGCCATAACGTTTCTTTGTTTGAATTTCTCAAAAATTCTGTTTATTTCCAGGTTAAAATGTAAAAATCCATTGTTTTCAACATGGCTTTTGCACCCTCCTTTAACATTACCATTTTGGTTTTGTTACGACAGCAACAATGTATGGATACTGTGTATTATGGATATGAATGTAAATTGCGTTTGCATAATTATTCAGCCAACTGATTTGAATGAACTCAAATCAAAGAGGCAAACAAAGCATGTATAATCTGCCCAAAAACCTGTAACAGTTAAACCTTCATAACAGCAGAGCAAGAGTAGGAACAGAGTAAATATATAACCTGCTTCTATTATATATGATGAAAGATAAAAATCCTGTAAAACCAAAGAGAAGGAGAGTACCTGAACTAATGTCCTGCATTGTAAGTATTATGGATGTCTTACACCATAAACAGTTGGTGAAAAATCAACCATCAACACATGTATGGCATAGAAGAATAAGGCCAACCTGCCCCAACAAATAAATCCAGGGATGAGCTGTGCTTTAACTCCAGAGATAATGAGGTTTCCTATCCTTCATAGTCCCATGTTCTTCATAGCTGAAGCAGGTGTGATAGTTCATGATGGGGGAAAAAGACTTTCTCCAGAGGGCTGTGTGAGTTGGGGTGAAGGTAGAGGGAGAAGGGAAGTTTTCACCACAGGCCTGCTCATTGTTCTCTCACCTGTACTCTCCAAAAGTTATATCATCATCCTTCATGGGCTGGATCTCAGGATCTGCATGTGCATCTTCCTTCTCTTTCACTGGCAAAACAAGCAGAACTTTAGTAAAGGAGAATGTGAGGTTCTGTGTTCTATAGCTCCTGTGCACCACATACTAGGATAACCCAACTATTATCAAATAAAAGCTTATGATCTTAGTTGAAAACAGACCCAATGAATGTCAGAAAGTATTTTGTAAATAATATATATATATATAGATATAGATATATATATATATAGATATAGATATATAGATATATCTTCACTGTTACATGTACAATGTCTTCTGGCTTTTCTCTTACCTGGGTATTTGCCCCCCTTGTTCCTTTTTATGAAGCAGACGATGAGGAGAACCAGAATAAGGAGAGCGATGGCACACATAAGCCCAATGAACCAACCCTGGGTAGCAATGTCCACCTGTCTACTGGCCATAGCTGAGGGAAGGGAGAGTAAGGAGGGTCAGTTAGACAAAAAATGACAGCTATAGCAACATACCAACCTATAGATGACATGCAAATCCACTGATGTCCACAAATGGATGTGGGGAGGGGAACATTCTCAGTGGGTACATAGAAAAACACCTGAGCTTTATTAATATAACGCCAGTTCATTCTATTCAATCACATCCTGATTGTGCTTGAAATAATTCAACCTCCTGACGATGACAGACATGCGCTCACTAGGTTACTTTTCATTAACGCAAGATTATGAGTACTGTAGAGTCACAAAAGTATTTACAAAGCAGAAAAATCACACAAGGGCGGGTTTCAAAGGGAGATAAACCAAAATGATGACAGGTCTCTGATAAGTTTAGCATTATCATATTATCATACAGAACTTGTTAGATATACTGCTCTATGTAGACACCAAGATCATGCAGGAAATATATAACTCCACAGAGATGAACAAGCCTTGAATATGTCTACTTGATGGCCTGAAAACAACTGATCATGCTTAGGAACAAAACACTCCACATGAATCATGAATGGGATGCAGGATTTAAAAGCTCATGCCGGTCTGCAACAGATAAACTACATTTCCAATGAAGCCACGGGGTCAAGGCCAATCGGGGCCTCACCTGGTAGTGTTACCAGTAACTCCTCAGAACGGTGAACTGTTTGGTCAGCGTGGCCTTTAGCCACCACACGCACTTTGTATGCCAGCCCTTCCTTTAAACCTTTAAGCACATGGGACTGCGATCCATTTACCATCTCTTTTTGCCAGTCTTCATCGCCTGAGGGGGTTCCAGTGAGAGGAACACATCAAATCCACACTCTAGCGTCGCAAAGTACTATATTCTACAAACTTCATGCAGCAGTAAGTTAGGTCACTACAACGACTCATCATCAGTATTAATCATTTTTTAAGTTAATTCAGTCTATCTATCTTATTAGCATAATTAAATCTATGATAAATCTATATTAAGTGTACATGACATATAGATATTAAATTTAAATGAACTCAATGAGGTGTGAATGTCAATGGTTTGTATATTAGTATGACATGAATTCTTCCCAAAAAAAGTTAAATTATTGGGCCATTGACATACTGTAACATGTAATATTAAAGTGATTTTACTGAAAGCAGAACAAGAAAATATCCATCATCTATCAAGACAAATCCCAGAACTCATTATAACATTAATGAGTTCTCTACATCAAAAAATTGTCAGTGTTACACTGCTCAATTCCCAAAATGTCAATGGAATTACACGTTGTACTTGTTAATTATCTTAACGTTAAGTTTTTTCAAGTTTTTAGACATATGAAATATTTTACATCTTTATATGTATTTACAAAAGGATTTGCCATAACAGCATAATATATTAGTCCAGCACGTCACAGTATTTATCCCTGGACTAATTCAACTAAGCATTGGTTTCTTAGACATTAGGGCTAATCTGGGACTAAACTGCAATTTAATCATTAACAGGCTCATTCAATCTATCCTCAGGCTTAATCATGACTGATTCTTCTCTTATCCTTTTTAATCTGATCCCTTTCCATCTACAAAGACAATATTAAAACTAAAAACATATCTTACTGTTTTCAACAATATATTCAACATAAATGTGTTTTTCTGGCCCCCAGTACTCCCAAGTGATTAGCGCTCCATCCTCGCCCACAGACGAGCTAACGTTGCCAAACACTGGAGACACTGGTTGCGCTAGGCAAACAAGAAAGAAGAAAAGAGTGAGGCCAGATGCTCATACATGTGCAGAGATTTTAAAAAGATATGATTATCGAAGCAATTCACTTGATTTTATGTGGAAAGTGCATCACCAAAATGGGTGTAAAGTCACTGAAACCAAAGTGGTGAACAATAACTTGCATTTAAAGACAATGACTAGGCTTTTATGTGGGGTTTAGATAGGTGAACATAACTGGGGGGAATGTTAAATATTACCAAACCCAAATGACTATCGATATTAAATATACTGCAAGAGATTTTGGTAAATAAAATTAATGTTAGATGCCTCGGCCGTTAGCATCAAGCTCGAAATCAGACAATCAAATGTTAAGGTTAGAAGTGTTAAGAGCTAGGTCTGCTTCTAAATCACATGTACCCTTGTGATGAGGGGGGTGTAGAGACTGGGAAGTTGGGGAGAGTGGATAGGGGGAAGCTGGAATCCCTAGAAAAAATTTGAAAAGGCATAAGAAACACACACACACACATTCACACACAAAGAAGACACAGAAGACACAGCACAAACAGATCACAAACAGAGCACAAGTAGGTTATGACAGGTCAGGTACCATTTGACTGCACAGCAAGCTGGCAAGAATAAGTATGTAGCATAGCAGGCAGTAAAGGGTATCCTTTATAAAAGTCAGGAGGAAAGGAGGTTTTCCATTTCAAAAATAAACAGAATATATGAAATGGTGGGACATAGCACACTGAGGGCATGCACAACTCAGTCAAAACAACTATTTATTTTGTCTCCTTAGGGTTGAATCCTTTGCTTATTGGACATTGGAAAACAGAGTACAGACCAAGCCTGAAGTTGAGGCATGCTGTTTGATTTCAATAGCAGAATATAGGATGCTGTATGTGGGCTGCATGCAAGGACTAGGGGTGCCTGTGCCCACACAATGCATAAGAATATGTAAGAGAAAGAATAACACAGAGAAACGCAGCTGACGTAAATCCAAATGGAAAGGAAAACATTAACTAGCCTACTAAGTACCTCAAATCAGTTGAAACGGCATTAAGATTAGGCCAAAAGTCTAATCGCCTTTGCTTAAACTGACCTAACTTAAAATATTCCTAGACATATAGCTTACTGTACTGTTGACAGGATCAGTTAGTTAGTGTGTTGTAGCCTACTGCAGCTGAAGCAGCTGCTGTCAAAAATGTAGTTTATCTAAAATGAGTTAGCTATGCTGTTTGATTGCATGTTCTACCCTAAACGTCTGAGTGAGAGATGAAACCGAAAAAAGCAAATCTGGGAATCACTATCTGTAAGGATCCACATTTGGCCATGTTCTCACTGGGCTTGAAGAATAAAAGCATCCCCCTCTCCTCCCCAACACCAGCAATGTTCTAGCCAATCTGTATTTCTGTTAGCTTACACAGACCTTACCATAAAGACTTTCTCCTCCAACTGCGTGTGGGTGGAAAAACAACACTAGCTTCTCACACTGAGCGAAGGCCAGGGCTAGCCTTGCGGCAAGAGAAAGCTAACACAACTTGCTATGACTGACTTTGGATGAAACTTGACAAGGAAGTAAACAACAGTAAGTATGTAGCATAGCCGGCCGTAAAGGGTATCGTTTGCAAAAGTCAGGAGGAAAGGAGGTTCTCCATTTCACAAATAGACAAAATTCACAGTACTTAACCCTGGACTGTGTATATAGCATAACAGGCAGTAAAGGGTCACCTGCCTTTGGCAAGGATGCTTAGATATGACTTCATTCTTCAGTCATGCTTTTGTTTGTCTTTGATTAAACATGCAAAAGTGATATGATGCATTCATCCAGCAAACAGAAACTCATCAAGCTAAACAAATGACAGCCATTTTGACCCAGTGTGAAAGGACATTCAAACTAAAATATTAAAACCATGCATATTACAGAGAACAATGCCAAACACAAATCAAAGGTACAACAGACAATAATAAAGCATTAGCAAAATGTAATCCTTTTTCAGACTTAATTAAAGCAGTGTGCCGTTTTCCCTTTTGCCTGATGTTAATTAAGATGGTAGTTTTAAATCCCGCGCTGTAGGAAAGCTGGATTAAAAGTCCCAATTTTGTGCCAAAGTACAAGTAACGTACCTGCATCCATTATTGTGGCAAACTCCTCAGTAACGCTGGGGCCTGGTCCTTTGAGTGTTTTGGCACTGAAATAAAACTTGTAGCGCGTGCTGTACTTGAGGTTGTGCAGAGTGATGCTGGTCTCATTGGCCGGCACGGTTAGCTCCTCCAAGTGGCCAAGTTCATTGCTGTTATTGACTAGAGAGGTGGAATGGGATTGGTAGTAGGGGGGAACGGAAGGTGGGATGAGAAGTTACCAAACCTTTAACCTTCCTGATGGAGTGTTCTATCATGTAAAAATATGTGTGTGTTGTCTGAAGAAAACTAATTAAGTTTCCATGATTCACTATGACAGAAATTCAACAACATGCATATATACACATAAAAACACACACACACATTCAAAAACATTTAAAAATACCACATTTAACACAGATTAATTAGGTAGGGTGAAACATTACCAATGTAGTAAATTTTTTTCCAGCATGCAACTAATTTGTTTACAAACTGAAACTACTTCCTGATATCTGCAGAGATTAAGGATATCCACATTTGCTCATGCATCCACTGCGGATGATCTCTATCCATGCCTCAGTGTAATCTCCTAACCCACTCTGTAATTCCACAACTGAGTCATGTTCTGTGTGGATTACATGTTGACTCACCTGACTGATATCGGAGGGTGTATCCTGTGAGACGGCCATTCTTCTCATGTGGTGGTCCCCACTCCAGAGTTAGAGAGTCCAGATTGCTGTCAGTTACCCTGAGGAATGCTGGTCGACCAGGAACTGGAGAAAAAAGGCACAGATGTTTAAGGAATACATTTAAGAGTGAAGCAGTCTCTATTAGGGGTGAAAAAAAAGTGCACTGTGATGCACTGATCCAACTGCATGGATCAGAATCAATTGTAATAATAGTCAATAAAGTAAGTGACTTTCTGACTTTTGGCAATTCTTTGGATAGAGTTTCCCTAGAATATTCTGTCTTCTGTTTGGGTCTTCAGGGCTTCCTAAAGACTCATTTATCATTCCTTTGACTGTCTTTATCTATATTGTTGATAGTTGTCCTCTTCCTCTTTCACATTGAACTGCTTCAAGCATACTTGTCTTTTCCAGCGAATTGGTTCTTCTTATAATATGTCCAAAATAAGATAGATTCAGTTTAGTTATCTGGGCTGAGTGAAAAGTGAGGCTTGATTTTATCAAATATCCATTTGTTTGATTTCTATGCCATCCAAGATACTCTCAGAAGTCTTCACCAACACCAACACCACACCACACCGTTTTTGGTGCACCAAAATAAATTCTTCAAATCAAATAGTGCTGAAATTTGAGATTTCACAATGCATAGAATCTACACTGGTTCCACAATTTCAAATTCCTCTGAATCATAACTCCTCAATTTCCAGGCTTCTTACATCCAAAGGTTCATTATATGAACAAAACAAACTGGCTGAGTTATTGTTATGTTACAGGAATAAGGAACTGGTGTTTGGTCCTGAGAAGTTTAGGGGTTAACGCATTTTAATGAGACTCATCATAACATTATACAGTCTCATCCACCCAAGGAGAACACACTTATTCATTCTTGTCTACAGTATCATCAAATCATCTCACTCATTAATGTAATGTGCCTGAAACTGCACATTACTCCAATGCTTACCTCCTTCAGGAGTCTCAAACTGCTGACTTGTGCTGGCGGGTCCCTCTCCACGCCCATTAAACACCTTGATGTTGACCTTGTAGAGGCTGTAAGGGTGTAGGCCGGGCAGCTTGCCGTGGCTCCTGTTCCCACTGAAGGTCAGTGTCTGCTGCTCCATGTGGTGAGGGTGTCCGTGGCCATTGTGCTTGTGCAGACTTCTTTCTTTCCAGTAATATACCTGAAATGTGGAATCCCAGTTTACATAATGATACTGCACTTGAATCAGTTCACGATGCCCATCAGAAGTTTGGGAACACAGTGTTTTTTTTTTGTTTTTGTTTTTTTTTTTACTGCCAAGAAGTCACATGTGGTCCACTTTTCTTCGCTTAATTTCATAACTCCATAATGTTCTAGTTTCATGGCAGTTACCAAATAATTCATAACAGTTACTGAAAAATAAGCCTAGTATTTAAGCAGCTAAAAATGAGCATTTAAAATCACTCATGCTACCTTAGGAATAATGTCATAGCCCACATATTTTGTCCTCTAGTGATGTCAGCACTCATAAACACTCAACACTCTTTTAGGTGTTTAAACCATCTTTGAGACAAATGATTTTCAACATGTCCTATGGTTTGGAGAAGAAAACTTTCAAAATCATTATTAAGCAGATGAATTTGAAGTGTATAAATGTTTGGATGTTTAATGTTAACAAAACCTTTACAGGTTTTTGAAAAGGAAACCATAAAAAACATTACTCACAAACTTTTGATGGGCAGTGTATACGAAGCAGGGTATAAATCCTCTGGGTTATATAGTTTTTATAAGTCAGCAAAGCTGTGTGCAGATCCACTGCAAGACTGAACATCATAACACTGATATGAATTGTGATAAAAATCTTATGATCCCATTGAGACCAAATCTGTGGTTAGAGCAATGCTCAGGCTGACTTTATTCTAGTAAGAACTCTGCAGTAGCTGATAACACTGCCTTCCTGCATGGAAAAAGGAGGTCTTTCCCAGAACTGGTTCTGTCATGGTGCAGTCTTTGCAGAGACAGTGTAAGGGTCTCTCAGAGGAGCAGTGAAACTAGGACTGCTTTTTTAATACAACTCAAAGCTAGTGAACTGATCTAGGATCTGTTTTTGCAAAGGACAACTGCATATGAGGAATCTGACTCTATAATAGTGCTCTAATCACAGGGCTTTATGCTGCCATTTGCTGTCAATTAGCGTACAAATGGGTTGAGTTCATTTCTGTTGCTTTCTGTTGCAATATGCTACAATATACTCAAACTATCTAAATATGAAATATCTTTAAACATATTATTTACACAGTATACACATAGTATTGCAATTACATCAATAGCAAGACATACCCTGTAGCCTTGTAGTTTCCCACGCACTGATTTTGCCGGTACTGATTTCCAGTACACTTCTGCCAGAGTGCTGTTCTGCACCAGAACCCGGGCAATCTCTGGAGCTTCCACTGGCACTGCGAGATGAAGAGGAAATGTACTTCTTACATAATAAACATTTCAAAATGTCAACACAGACTCTCATCATCTTTCTTATGGTCCTCAGTGGTCCTCAAAACTACTAATAGAAATAGAATGCTAATTATATTGTGCTACTCATACTGCACAAATGTGTTTTACGAAGAGAAAATCAAATAGGTTACTAACAGTCTTCTCCTGAGTAGCCAATGATGACTGCTGGATTTGGTCCATGGCCGTAGTTGTTCACAGCCTGAACTTTCACCTCATATGGTACAAAGGTGGGCGTCCCAGCTACCACAAACTTTGAGACATTGGCCACTGTCACAGAGGTCCACTTTTCGTCCACATGCATCTGCCTCCACATGACTTTGTACTGAAGACCAGGACCATTCCACTGAAGACCCGTCAATGGCTTAGAAAGAAGGTTTAGCGTTACTACTTAGCATCCATATAGCAGTTCACCATTACCAGTTAGTATTCATAAAGCTCCAGGTCATGCACGTTCATAAAATGAATATGAATAAAAATGAAATTAATAAAAAAAATCTTTGTTTTATATGGCTGTGGCTGGTAAATACTTTCTCTATTACCTTCCAAGATATCACCAAATTGTTAGGTTCTGTGCCCATGCCTTTAACTTCACTGGGGTTCTCATCAGGAGCTGGAAAAGAAAGTGAAAAAGAGGGAGAGCGAGAGAGAGGGAGAGAGGGATACATTATATGTAAGCGACTAACTGAAGTAAACTGACAGAAATGCACAGATTCCATCTATGTACATACAATCTACAAATAACATTAAGTTACAGTTCCACACTACCAGAAAATGCAGGAGGTCTTACCTGCAGGGTTGGTTCTGTACTGGCGTGAGGGCTGACTGGGCAGGCTGTAGCCAATATCATTACGAGCTATGACTCTGAAGCTGTAGTGGACAAACGGGGACAGCTTGAGGTGAGCTGTGGTCTTAGTGCCGGGCACCTCCGTAAGATTATGCCAAGTGCCACTGTCATGAAGCGCATCTTCATATTGAATAAGAAACTCTGAACAGAAGAAGAAAATATCAAAATGGTTAAAATGAATCGATAGTATAGTCCTAACCCATCACTTCATTAATCACGTCCTTTTGCGTGTATGTGTTTGTTTGCTCAAAATTGTAGTTTGTAACACAAACAAGACAAAATGTACATATTTTTTTCTTGGTTAGGTCTTTACACATCAAAATATTACATGTCAAAATAAATGTGACTATGTAAACTAATGACAATAACAACTCATTGTTTTGGTGAGCAGTTTTGCACAACTGCTATCAAAAAAAAATAAAAGACAAACATACTCTTAATAGGACTGTTGTGTTCGTCTCCAGGGATCCAGGTAAGCTGGACACTGCGTGCTCCGGGATCGGTCAACTCCAGATCTGTAGGAGCATCTGGTTTTTCTGCAGTTGGACAAAGAACAGAGGTTAAAAATACTGTAAATAGTGCTGAATAGCAGCACTTCTCCAGTATTGTGATACTAAACTTAAAACAGAACAAAATACTCAAGTTAAAAAAGTATGTTCTTGTTTCTTCTCTGAGTGTTCAAAAATAAAGATGACATGCAGATGAATCATGCACTAAAACATCTCAAAATACATTATTTTAAATGTTAATACATCTTGCAAATGCAATACACATCTCACTGGATAAATGCGTTGTTCACACTGATATAGGGGTAAACAACTTCCACACAAAAGGATTTAATGGGGATGCTTCGCTTTGGAGGAACCCCACTGAGCACAGTGGCATGAGCTTACTAATGTAAACATGGGAAATGATCAAAATGCTTTTCTGCTTGTGGTGTCAGAGGACTATATAATTTACATTCATTTACCTTAGGTGGTACAAAGATAAACTCCAGGTCTAATAACATTTGTGCTTGTTTTCGAAGGACAGTGTTGAGCAAGTATGCAAAATGTGCAAAATACTCAAAACTGCATCAACATAAACACTATTCATACATTTCAGAGGCAAAAAGACAAAAAGAAAGCAAAAATGAGAAAGTTATACAAAACTGAAGTGTATTTAAAGGTTCAATGGCTACCAACCTGTGGTTCAAGCAAGACGCTAATGAAGTCACAAGCACAAACATCAAAGCAAACATCCAACCAGCAATGAATATGTAGCTACAGCACAGCATGCGCAACTGCACCTCCACACATACACCAACCCAGGTGAGTATGGGATGTGATGTGGTGTGCGTGAGGCAGTTTTTACCGTAAATAACCGCTGGTGTAGGGGTGGCCTCTGAGATTGAGCAGGGTAGGAATGAGTTAGGAGTTAGAAATAAGAATACATACAAAAGTTTGAAGTATTTTTAGAATAGTAATGCAGATTGTAATGGAGTGATAATTATAGAGATCATTCATATTAATTTGCTGCAAAATCTATTTCCCAGATCAGTCATTTACTTTTGCTTCATTCCTTGAGTGAGTTGAATTGCCCTTAGCTGGTGTATCCAAAAAACAGACTAGGAAAATGAGACAGGGCCTATTAAAGAGCATTTCTTTAAAGACAGCTTGTATCTTTGTTCAGCAGAAGATATGAATAAATAACATTATAATTCACAAAAAGGGGAATAGATAACATGACCTACCAACAACAGTGAGCTCTGCACTGGCTGAGTCCTGGTCTAGTGTTGTGTTCATGATGCATGTGTATGTCCCTTCATCATTCTCTGTCACCTCCATGATGGTAAGACTATCTGAATCCACAATGAATCTGAAAGCAGTTGTAACAATGTCAGTCAAAACTGATGTTAAAACTGTCTGAATCCATAATGAATGTAAAATAATTGATGTCAGAAGTATCATGGATTTATGATGCATGGATTTGTTCCTGAGGCATCCTCTAATGATTCATTATTAAGGCTAATGAACAATGGACCAGAGAAAATTACTTGCCACTTGTCACAGCTAGTACTATATACCCTGTGCCACAGATAGTAAAACACCAAGGGATCTGATGCCTCTATTACTGTAAAGATATTAAAATGACATGCCATCCTCTCTAATTATATCCTTTCAGAATATACAAGGATGGACTATAAATACATGCTCAGACTTTGTGCTTGGAAACATAATAGTGCATGTTATGTATCAATAATACAAACCTCTCATCATCAGGAAGCTCTCCATTATCTTTGAGCCAGGTCATGGTGGGAATAAGAGAGGGGTCGTGCTTCACTTTACACTCAAACACCACATTCCTGTTCCTCTGGACTACCTTATACTCAGGCTGCTTCAGGATCCGAGTGGGCTCTGAGGGACACAAAAAGCCAAGCACATCAGCCAGTAAGAAATGACTCAACAAACAGATGAGGCCACAAAGGCACATGTAGTAATTTAAAGGGAGAAAAAAATGTACATGCATGTTCTCCAATATACACTTCTGTGCAAAAGATTTCAGTCCAAACAGCCAATAAGTAAAAGTTATTTTTAAGGAGACATTTCTGAGGAGATTAGATAAAAGATAATCCACTTGCATAAGGATAGAGAAAATCAAAGGAAAACAAGTGAAAAAATCAGGAGTTTCCAAAAATGGAGTTCAAATTTGCAGAGAAAATGGGGACTACTAACAAGCGTGTAAGACCTGGCAGACCACCAAAACCACCAACATCACTGAATGTGTTTGAGATTACCTGGATCGTGAGAAACAGAAAATTCAATCAGCTTCTAAGACTGAACTTTGAAGGTGTGGAAAAATTTCCCTGCAGATTTCTTTGAAAAACAAACAGTAAGTATTTTGAAAAGAATGGAAACTGTAATAAAGGCAAAGCGTGGACACAGTACATAATAAAAAAATGTGATATTTAGTTATAGAGGTTTCTGTGTAATTCTCTGTTAAATGTATATTTTCTGCTTTTTTCCTGATGCTGAAAAATAAATAATATTTACTGAGCAGCCATTTTGTTTGGAAATTAAATAAATAATGGATGATCTCTGACTTTTGCTGTATGTTTTCTAAATAATATAAGTTTCTCTTCCCTTTAGACTTGTTAGCCCTGACCCACACAACAGCTGCCAAAAAGTCTGGCAGTAGACGATAGTGGAGAAAGGTTTCAGGGCTTAATGGACAAGCAATATAGCAGTTTCCTGTTGTGCTCTTTGGAAAAGCACTTAACATCATCTGTCTTCATCTGCAAAACAGACAACTAGCAAGCTACCGACTAAACCCCTCAACCTAATGCTTACACTGCAAAAAATGACATCTTTGCAAGTTAAATGATCTTAACTATATGTGGATATACCAAATATTCTTCATGTAAAGATTGGTATAAGCTTATTATTAGAGAATTTAACTTATTTCTAGACGTTTTATGTATTCTGAGTAATTTTATTCAGTAAAATTATCTCACTACATGCAATGTGCTTGAAACAATCTGCCAATACAGTGAAATAATTTTAATGAATAAAATTATTTTACATGAGTAAAAACATCTAGAAATAAATGTAATAACAAATATATTATTCTAAATATTAGATATTTAGAGTAGATTCAAGATGATTTCTCTTGTTAAGATACCAATTTTTGCAGTGTAGAAGGGGGTAGGAGGGCATCACAAGTGCTCCCAAGGTTACAGATCCCTTGGAAAGCTGTAAGGATAAACATAAGTAGACTGAAAAAAACATGAACCCTATTCCTACACTAATTACTGATTTAAGCCAATAGAACATTCTCTTTGAAATTCAAATGTTGCATTCCATATTAACACCCACCTTTGACCTCCAGGTATACATGATTCTCGGAGATGCCGAAGGAGTTGGTGGCGACACAGGTGTATTTGCCGCTGTTGAAGGCCTGCGCCACAGGGATCTCTAGAGTTCCGTTCTCATGAAACACAAATGGGTCTCCAACCAGAACACTGGAGCGGCTGTCTTTAAACCTGCAGGGAAAAGTCCTATTGTGATCCCACCAGTATGCTGCTATCTTGCTGCCTTACATTTAGAAAAACTCCATGGTGAAAATTTTTGCCTCAGATAAAAGAAAATAAGTATGCTTATAGCTACAGTTATGTCCGGTTAAAACAGGAAAAAACAGCCAAGAGTTCCTGCTTTGGCCCCAGCTCTCTAATTATGTTTTGGTGACAAAGCTGTAATAATTGCTGTTGATGCTGCATGTTAGAGACAGTGTGGCTGGGTTTTGACAATGTAGTAAAGTTAGTTTAATAACTTTTAAAAGTGTAGAAGTTCATCAGAGCTAGGCGCTAAAAGGAGGTATTTAGCAGCCTTGTTAAAGCTCTGTATATAAGGCATGTGAAAGCAGAGCCAAAGTAGCTCTGTTAATGAGCAGAGATACATGTTGGCTTGTAAACACACAAACAGAAACGCAGATGCACACTCACACACATACCACGTGATTCCTGGTAGAGGAGAGCCGAAGGAGGCGCAGTCCAGAAGAGCAGGCTTGTTCATGATGACCTGGTAGACCTTATTCAGAGGAGTGAGCACTCTGGGAGGTTCAGCTGCAACACACAAATCCAATTAAACAAGCAACACCTAGACCAAAATAACTGAGGTGATAATGATAATAATGTTGTATTGGCACTGCTGGAATGCTCAGCATCTTCTCTAAACCTGGGAATATCTAGTCACCACCCAGAGTACTCATTGTGTAGACACACTATTTTTCATTATTACTTACAGGCAAGCAATATGACATGGTCATAATAGAATATTTACATAATTGTATTTTATCTCATTGTATTTAATAAGCTGTTAATTAGATAACTTGAAACAGGCTTTTAATTACGCACCCAGCACGTTGACGAAGGCATTGGAGAGCAGGTACCCATATTCATTAGAAGCATTACACTGGTACACAGCGCTGGAGCCGGTCTGAACCTCAGTGAAAATAATGGTATCATCCTCCACTTTCCTACTGAGATCTGCAGGAGCATCTATTAGACAACAGAACACAATAAAGTACAGTCATATGACTGACAGTGGACAGAAGTGAGTCTTAATCCTTAGAAGGCTAGAGTTATTATTGTGATTTTGCTGTACGTTTAATGTACATCATTTCTATGTGCAATAATATAATTACATAATTAATTAGTCAGTAAGTTAGTTATGTATTGAATTAGATACACACTCAATTACTATTATGTATCAATAGATCCCAGTCCTCTGTTTCCTTTTGCTTTGTTTGACTGATATCAAAATAAAATATCTCCTCTTCTACATACAAACACAAATGCTATAACCATTTAGACATGCGCCAGTACACTGTTATTCACTATACTTTAATATTACATTTGCATTTACGGCATTTAGTAGACGCTCCTATTCATATTGAATATGCACAGTAGTGTTAATATGGACTCTCTTAGTTTAATAATCAAACACGTTGTGGTTTCGTCCATGTTTTTAGATGTGCAGATCAGTTCTGCTTTCACAAGCTTCCACTACACTGCCACACCCTGATCATAATAATACAGTACTTCCTCTGAGTGGATCAGAACAGGTAAACGTTCTCAGAGCGTGCAGCACAACAGAGCGGGAGAGGTCCCAGAACTTCATTAAAAAATGATTAGACATGATTACATAATTAACCCCTTAAAGGGCCAGGCCTCAGTGTCGAGTCCAAAGTGTTATTACACACTTCTATAATCTAAGAATAACCCAGTCAGTTGGCATTGTAGTCCAGGTAGTTACTGAATAATAAGCCTTAGTATGTAATAAGGCTGGGATTTTAAGGGGTTAAAAATTTAAGTTTGAAAAAAGACAAACATTCCATGTTTTATGTTATGTTGGAGCATTTCACAGCTCTAGGAAAGGGTTGCAGTGATTTATGGCAGTTTTCAGCTCCAGTGCTTAACTGCGTAAAGGTCCATATGATAATTATACACACAGTTTGCATCAATATGGGTGTTTTTATTTTTTCAAAGGATTATTATATTGAATATATTGTACATGTTTACCACATACACAGTTCTTCTATTTAAAAATAGTATTGAGAATATAGTTCGTTTAGTTTTAAACATGAAGTGTTTTTTCTAATGTTGTGATAACATCATAAAACATTATAAAGATTTGGTAATATAGATATACAGATATATATATATATATATATATATATATATATATATATATATATATATACATAATGAGAGACCTAGAAGAGTGAAATGCAACTTAACAGAGAACCTAATGCCAACTGTGTACATGTAGATTCAGGCAACCTCTTAATTTCCACTTTGCCTTTTATCAGTTTAACACCTCATGCATGAGTACTACAGTGAGGATGAGTGAAAAGGACAGAGACTGACTCTCAATGGGGACTCCATTCATGAACCAGCTGATGGTGGGTTTGGGGTTTCCTCTCGCTCTGCAGGTCAGCACCCCAGTCTCCAGTGGAGCCAAGACCAAATTCCGTGGAGCGCTGATCCAGTATGGTGCAGCTGGAAAAGACCAAACAAACAACACAAACACTGCATAAGGAACATATCTTTATTTTAACCACTTCTAGGCAGTGAAGAGAGCAAGAATGAAAGGAGCCATGAGAAAAGCTAAGCACTCAAACACATAAATTATTCATAATAATTATACGATACAGACAGGCAGTGTGCAAAACTTTTCCATCTGACAGCGTCTGTTTACAGTAAGGAGCCTACAGTGAAATGTCTAACTGCTATCAACATTGAAAATGTTTTTTCCTGAGACAATCTAATTACACGTTCTCAATCTTCAGTCCTGTTTACTGACACAACATGAGTTCCCCAGATAATAAAATCATGCACTGCATTTAAAAATCAATAAGAGGAAATGTAGAGAGGGTAAATGTGAGGTGAAGTGGTTGAGCGTGTGTTTGATGTGCAATCCATCTCCCACCTTTCACTGTCACTCTGATGGTGTGGTGGACGGAGCCCAGCCGGTTCTTCGCAGTGCAGCGGTACTCGCCAGCGTCCGCCTCCGACACATCCACGATCCGCAGTGTCTTCTGAAAGTTCTGGAAGGAGGCTCTCTTGGTGGGGAGCTCACCACTGACCTTACTCCAAGCAACCTCTGGAGTGGGGCTACAGAGGAGAGGAGAAAGAGAGAAAACAAGGAGAGAGATAAAGAGCAAAATGAGGGAAGGATTTTTACAAATCATTGTTTTTTACATACTCAGACCCAGCAGCACAAAATGTGCTTTGATACAACTGCAATATGCAGCCACAATATGCTTAAATTTGATGGTCAATTTACTATAACACTGCAGCTTATTATTCAAACTGCGCATAGCTTCGCCCACTAACTGTACACTGCAAATAATAGTATCTTGTCAAGTGAAATGATCTTAAATCTAATATATCTAAAATTTCCATTCTGAGATGGTTGTGTGCTGATCACAAGATTATCTAGCTTATTTCTAGACATTATTTAACGGTTTAGGTAACTTTATTCCGTAAAATTATCTCACTATGCTGGCAGATAATTTTGCAGGTTTTAAGCACATTTTTTTTAAACAAACAAAATTATCTGCCTATATAGTGAGATAACTACTTAATACAATTACTTAAAATAAGTACAAAATGTTGAGAAATATGTTAAATAATCTTAAATTAAGCTTACAACAATCTCAACAGGAGATTATTATTATTTTAGATTTATATATATATTAATAATATAAATATTAGATTTACTGACAACATTTAAGATACTTTTAGATGCCATTTTTTGCAGTGCATTCTCATAAGATGCAGCGTTTAAAAGAGGCAGTGGGATAATGAAGCTAACAACTTTTGAAAAAATAAAAGTGTGAAAGATTGTGGTGTTAATAAATTATGTTTTTTCCCACCAAAACATTCTACATGGGTGACATTTTTCTCCGGCTAAAGAAAAGAGTTTATGAAACAGAAACATAGATTGTGAATGCACACTGCAGCTGCATTACGGCATATTTCGTGCCCTGTCTTCTCATACACGTACGTGTTCCAAGCATCTGAACAGTGCTATTCTGATGGCAAACAGTTTTTCATGTGTTCAAAGTTCGTGCCTCTGTCTAACTGCTGTGCTGCTGAAATTGTTATCAAAAACACATCTTTCGAGACATTAACGTAAATTTAAGCTTGGTTTTAAAAGGTGGAGCAATATTGATGCTCAAACTTCAGTAGTCGAGCAGAATATGTAATCAACTGCATATGTAATATCTCTGACCACTTTTTGCATGATCCTCCCACGTTTGAATATGCATGAGTAGGAGAAGTGCATTTTGTACTTTTCACACACAAGTCCCATAATCTGCGAGTTTAGGCTTGTATGCCAGTTTCACACATAACATGTGGGTAGAATGCATACAATGCATACAATATTAGCTCAGTTTAAATCCTTGGGCCCTACTCTGACACAACATTCGACGAAATGTTGGCAGCAGACTGGCCAATCACTTTAACCCCTTAAACTACAGGATTGTTATGCACATAATATGCAATAAGACTTTATTCATAAACTATGTAACTAATATGTAATGTTTTTATGAAAGTGAGTAACTGAAGCATAGGCCCACATACAGACCCTGAGGGTTTAAGGGCTTATAAGAGTGTGAAGAAAACAACAGCAGAGTACAGAAGAAAGAGTAGAAGGAAGTGTAGGCTTACAGCCCCTCAGCAATGCACTCCAGCTCCAGAACCTGTCCTCTAAGGACCATCTTGGAGCTGGTAGAACCAGTCGGAACCAGAAATGAAGGCCGCCTCTCTTCTGCTGGGTCATCTGAAGCGAGAAAAACATCTCTACTCAGAATATGAACTGAAATGCACGAGCAAAGCTGCTACAGTCACAATCACATCATGGTCTGGGATACAACTACTATAAAACATAATGAAAACATCTTAATGAAAGCAGTTTTTAATGCTACTGCTGAGCAGTCCACCATCATTTCACCTAAAAACTTTTGTTCACTTATTAGATGTATTTCAGGCCCAAAGACTGTTATAACCTTCATAGAAGTTTCTCTGTGTTTCTCTTTCTGTTCTTTGCTATATTGAATATGAAAGTAAACTAGACTGGGCAAAACTTACTTTACCTTGGATTCAGGTATTAAAATTATCACTATGCTTATAAATGCGATCATTAAGCAGAGAGATGTGGAACATGAAGCTGCTGGTTCCTCTTACTCTGCATGTTGTGGTCACCTAATTGAATGAGTGGCTTAAAATATGGAACATTTCAATCAATCAAACATAATTAATGAACAACCAATTAAATACATGGGGCCATATTTACTATAGCCAGTAGCACAGTAACTAAAATGTTTGATACATGATAAAATATTTAGCATGTCATTATTTCATGACTTATGACCAAATCAATTTGTGGTCATGCTAAAAGCTGTAGTAAATCAGGCCTATGAAATGAACATGAGGTTGTACAAGCAATGAGAAATGAGCAGATGGCAGATGTGAGTAATAGAACAAGAGAATGAAATGAATGAAGTGATCGGCAAGAGGAGTGGAAAGTAACAGAGGAGTTGGAGACTATTTTCACATTAAAAATTATAAGCATGTTATAATGGCTATTTCATTATTCAGATCTAGATAGTTCATGCCAGTTAACATGAACATGCTTGCAGGAATACAAGTACTTGCGCATGAGTTGTTCCATTTGTCCAGTGAAAAATATACTAATATAACTAGTAATTTGAAACTACAATAATAATTAAATATAAAAGAAAATAGCTGCCTTAGCTGAGGATAATAAAAGGATAATATTGCCATGCATTCAGAAAAGGACATTTAATATTCAGATTAGCAGGTAATGAATCAAACAGAATAAAAGTCTAGAGGAAACAGAAAAAGAAGAATATTTCAGAACGTGTGAACCCACATAAAATGATTGTTTGTTTGGAACAGGTAAGGAAAGATAGATAAAAGACTGAGGTTAGTGATTGGGCTGTGCGGTTGGTTAAACTGCGACGGGGGTTAATCTCTAGGGTTGGTTAAACCATCAAGGGGCAATCACTAGGGGGCGGCATCACTCACCACCGAACAAATCAGTGTCATTCAAATAAGCTGCCATTGTCTCATTGATTGCATCCACTGGAACACAACAGAAGGTCAAACGCATGAATCATGATATTGAAATAACATGAACAGAACATGTCTGTGGATACAAAATAAAAGAAGTGGATAAATAAACCAACAAGGAAATTAAAACTGACCAAAGGGTCAAAAACAGCTTCACAGTATGTAGTCATTTTCATAAAAAACACATACAACTCATGAGTATCCTTAGTTGCTCAGAGTTGATTACCATTTTCAAGCAATGAATGGAGGTCTGGAGGTTTTAGTGCAACCTTCTCAAACAAAAACCAGTGTGATTTCTGACAATGGTCTCCATTCAGCACTGGTGTCAGAAGTGTGAGTTATAATAATCATAACTGCGGGAAACTACACCCTGGCTTTTCTCCTACAGATGTATGCAGCACTCATAAGGGACTCACTGTTGAGGACGCGGACGGTGATGGGCTGCTTCTGCTGAATGGTCTGTGTGTGGGGGAAGCGTGCGTAACAGATGTAGTCACTTCTGGAATCCTCCGTCACAACGTTGGAGAAGTAAAGATCTCCATTCAGACCCTGAGAGACACGCCGACTCTGAGGGAGACGTTGGAAATCTGTGGAGAGGAACACAAGGAAGAAGAGTGAGAGACAGAGATAGACAGACAGTGAGAGAGAAAGAGAATAAAGAGAGAGAATAGAGAAACAGAATAAAGAGAAGGACATGAGAGAGATATGAGAAAAGAGAGAGGGAGAGGGAGAGGGGGAGAGAGAGAGAGAGACAGAGATAGACAGACAGTGAGAGAGAAAGAGAATAAAGAGAGAGAATAGAGAAACAGAATAAAGAGAAGGACATGAGAGAGATATGAGAAAAGAGAGAGAGAGAGAGAGAGAGAGAGAGGGAGAGGGGGAGAGAGAGAGAGAGAGACAGAGATAGACAGACAGTGAGAGAGAAAGAGAATAAAGAGAGAGAATAGAGGAACAGAATAAAGAGAAGGACATGAGAGATATGAGAAAAGAGAGAGAGAGAGAGAGAGAGGGAGAGGGGGAGAGAGAGAGAGAGAGAGAGAGAGAGAGAGAGAGAGAGAGAGAGATGACAGGGAGCAGTGGGGGATGACAGGTAAGGCTAGTGTGAGGTAAGACTTTCATGCTGTAGCAGGACCTGTGTGACAGCTACACGCTTGGCAGGTAGACAGAGTGAAATAGAGTGAAGTGGGGAGAGAGAGAAAGAGAATAAAGAAGAGAGAAAGAAAGAATGAAGCATGGAAGCAGTTTACTGCTACCTGTACTACTGAAGAGAATGAACGCACTACAACATGACAGCACCATAAAAACAGAAACACCTAATAGCAATCCTAAAGTAATGCAGCTTGTAACGTGACAACAGAGCTAACCTAATATATTCAGTTCTATTCATTTACAATCCTAGAATAGCAGAGCTGGGTTTTTAGACTCATCCTGATACGCTTTCATCATACTGATGAAATTCAACATCACGCAAGAGTGATCCTAGAAAAGCTTGCCTAGTTCTGTGTTGTTCCGTGACTTTAACCCTTTATATCTTGAACAAAAATAACGTGCAATCTTGGTTGCATAAAATCACATACACACTACAATGGCCAAAAGTATGTAGACACTTAAACATCACCTCCAAATGTGCTTATGTTCCATACACTGAACATCTCATTCCAAAACCACGTGCAATAACATGGAGTGGGTGCACCTTTAGCTGCTCTAACAGCCTAGACACTTCAGGGAAAACTTTTTTTGTAACATGGTCGCATTGATTCTCTTTCATTCAGCAACAAGAGCGTTAGTAAGATCTGGGGCTGATAATGGGCGATAAGGCCTGTCTCACATCTGTCATTGCAGCTTATCTCAAAGGTGTTATGGTCAGGGCTCTGTGCAGGCCAGTCAAGTTCTTCCACTACGGAGTCAGCAAACCATGTCTTCATGGACATCACTTTGTGCCCAGGGCATTGTAATGCTGAAACAGGCAGGAAAGGGCATTCCCCAAACTGCTGCGACAAAACTGGCACAAAAAAAGCACAGAATTCTCTAGAATTTCACTGTGTCCGACAGCATTAAGATTCCCTACACTGGAACTATTGGACACACCATAAAAAAAACCCAGGCCCTTATTCCTCCTTCAACGAACTTTCTTGTTGGCACTATGTATTTGAACAGGTAGCAGTCCAATGGTGGTGTACTTTACACCACTCTAGTCAACGCTTGGTATAGCACATGGTGATTTAAAGGTTGTCATAGAAAATCCAATCTATGATGCTCCTGATTCACACTTCTTGTGCTGATGATGCTTCCAGGAGCAATTTGGAACTAGGTAGTGAGTGCTGAATCAAAGACAGACATGTTTTCCATGCTATGTGCCTCTCCACTCAGCAGTCCCATTCTGTGAACGTATGTGGCCTGCCGCTTCACAGCTGAGCTACTGTTGCCCCTAGATGTTTCCACTTCATGTGTCTTGTTCCGTGTGCTTTTGTTTACGTCTCCCGTTTGCTTTTGTTGTTTTTGTCTATCTCCTCCCCAGTCATCTGTCCTACCTGTGTCTAGTCTGTAGCCCCACCTTCTTGTTAGCCCCCGGTGTTTCTCTTTCTTTGTCTATATATTCCTCTTGGTTTGTTCTGTTCCTTGCTTAAAGTTGTTTGTAGTGTGTTTTGCTGATTCTTAGTTTGAATAGTTTTTCCTGTGTATTTCGTTTTCTGTTCTTTGCTTTTGGTGGTTCTTTTCATTTCTTTTGTATTTTCCTTGTTTTGTTTTTCTTTTATTTTTGTTTTTTTTTTTGCTACTTTCTCCATGAACAAGAATAAAACTGCTCAATCGCACTTGCATCCTGCCTTCTCGTTTCTTTTGGCTTCCAGCTTGCTACACTATGCTACAAAAGGTTTTTTCCTTGTAGCCTAGCTCTCATCCTGGTAATTCTGGCACTGTCCAGTTGAACAGTTGCACTTACGATAAAAATGTGTGAACTGAAGGTGTTGTCAACAGCACAAGCATTTGTGGCTGGTGGAAAGATCCTGTTGCAATGCCTGAGCATGTGGTTGAGCAGTGTTGAGGTGTGTTGTCAGCTAAAGAGAAATGCTTACTGTTGTCCATCCAGAAGATTATGGGAGGGGGCAGTCCTGCAGGTGGTCTGCACTGCAGCACTAGAGACACACCCTCCTGCACGATGATCGGCTTGATCTTCTCTTTCGACCACAGAGGGGATCCTACAGGACATGTCACAAGACACCATATCACTGATTACAGGAATTGTACATGACCAAATGGAAATCAACTTTCTTTTGGAGTAATGAGGGAAAGGAAGGAATGGGAAGGATTTAACTTTAAAGTAATAGTTCAGTAAAGAAACAGTAAGTGTGCATGTATATGTGTGTTTGAATTTTGCTTCTTTAGTTACACTGAAACTATGAGGCTAATGCAGTGAATAAGGAAAGGCCAGGTTTATACCTCACCAACTAGCAAAGAATCTGTTTACCTAAATCATAACACACTCACCTCAAAGTGTATTGAGTTAAGTAATCTCAAAATGGACAAAATTCTGGACAAAACAGGCTTCAAGATGGCTGTGACTACTGGTTTTAGCTATGAGTACTTTTGCCAGTATCTATAGATAACTGTGTCTCACAGTGTCAGAAACTACAAAAGCAAGTCTTTTTGAGATTATTTAACAACTTGATACAGTTCAAGGCAAGTGAGTGAAGATTGCACAATGCTATTAATTGTCCATTATTTGATAGCTTTATTAGTCTCCAGTGCTAAATCAAAGAAGCAAACTTTGAACACCAAACATGTCTTGGCTGCTTGACCATTGAGAAAATGAGATTTTTTACTAATACTATTGTTTTAAAGCTGGAAACTGCTGTTTGAATGCTACCTTAATCAAAATAACAAAAAGAGGAACATGTGCCAGGAACATTGAGGAAACTCTGCATGCTTGAGTTCAAATTCATATACCTTCCAAAATAAGCGCTTTGATGATGGCAAACGTGTCTTTTTACACAGAGATGATAAAAAGAAAACAATATTAATGATGGGGAAAAAACAAAGCATTTAAACAAGAGTCGCTGATGAATAAATGAACATGAAGACTGAAGAATGACTATGCAGAGAGTGACTATAAAGGCAAGGTGATGTATAAAAGGTTGTGACATACTTGATTGTCGGATGACGATGTTGTTGGAGATGGCTGTCCCGTGCTCGTTGCGGGCAGTGCACTGGTAAACACCCTCATAAGCCTCAGCCTTCTCCCCTCCACTGATGTCAATGACCAGAGTGCCTGAATGAGGCTTCATGGTCACTTTAGAGTCTTTATCGATATCAAAATGTATGCCATTCCTGGTCCAGGAGAAGCTGTAAGTGCATAATGAGAGAACATTTTAACCACATCAAAACAGCAATACACTACTTATACAGTCACATGAAAGTCTTTCAGTATGTGGTATGGTCAACATAACCACAGAGCTATATAATATATCCTTTAAAACACTGTTTAAAACACATACAAAACAGGCTATATCTTGATTGTGAATAAATAATAGTATCAGAGTACATAATAAAAACAGTATAGCATGTGCAAATTGTGCAAGAGTATAACATCAAGTGTTAACTTATTTACACAAAGAGTTGAAAGTATCCAGAGTTAGAGAGTATTGATTTGATTACCATGTGGTAAAGCTGGGCAATATGGCAAAAATATAACAACACAATATTTAAATATATATGTAATATGCGATCACGATACTCAATTTTTCTGAGGTTAGTGCAAAAAAAAGGCCCAGTACTGACAAAACTATGAGTACAATAGTTTTAATTCAACATTTCACACTAAATCCAAACAAACAGGCCTCATTATGCTCTTTTTTATAAATAAGTATGAAATTTTCTTTAAGCGCTGATGATATCCATGATAAAATCCATCACAACCATACTGTAATGTACTTGATCACAATAACGACAATACGCGATCATATTGCCCACCCTTACCAGATTGGGTCTTGCAGCACTACTGTATATTAATGCACACAATAAATGGAGAGAAAAGGACACCTTTCCATTATCACAGCAGCAATGTTAACCATAAACCAAAGTCACTCGATAAGATATAAAGACCGTTTTGCTACTTACGCTGACTTTAATTCCTGATGACCCCTCAATTAATATTCCTTCAGCTTAATGGAGATCTAAATTTCTCCTTGGAAGTGATATATTCATCAGAGGCCTTTGCCCAAATCAGAAACAAAGCATGGAATATTCATAACCTAACAATAATCTATCCATTATCATGATCAGTTTTGCCCAATCAGAATAAAATGTGGGACTGTAGCATTTGAGCTGTGGTTCCCTGCTGTTAGATCACCTTTAGTGTGACCCAGGCCTTCTGCCACACTCCGTCTTTCTAAAGGCATATTTTTGCATTCATTTTCCTGTATAGAAATATTTATTACTGAAGAGGGTTCTTTTCACATGCCTCAGGAGGTCATTCAAATCCTCTTAACGTGGCTCAGAATGAGAGGATTTTTGAGACCGTAGTTTACAAAGAGCCTATGCACAAGCGATTATTCAATACATAAAGTGAGCGCTGTACACGAATGCCACCAGGATAAATCACGCACCTCGGGTGAGGCTTTCCTTTCGCTTCACAGTGAATGACGATGTTCTCTCGTGGGTCAACTATGTAGTCTTTAGGGGACTGGTGGGTTATGGTTGGAGGCTGCGGCACTAGAGTGACACAAAACAAATGAATTAGGATCACTTTTATGTAATGTCATCATTCACTCATACACAGCACTCACACACACACACACACACACACACTGAAAAGGTGCATTGAATTTATTTTATTCAAATGTGTACATCAATTCCAAAAAAGTTAGGACAGTATGTAAAGTGCTAATAAAAATAGAAAGCATTGAATAATAAATTCTGTTTGACCACCTGTTTTGTTTGACCCAAACACCAAATACACAATATGTGACATTTTACTTTATCAATTTTATTTTTATTTTTATTGTTTTGTAAATTTACATACATTCCAAATTGATGTCTGCAAAGCTGTGACAGGAGCATGTTTACCACAGTGTTACACCAACTTTCCTTTTAACACCACTTGTACATTCTTGTACTTGTAAAATCCTTGCAATCACTTGTTTAGGAATGTTGTTCTTGTATAGTTGGATTATTCCCTTGGCCTTTCCTGGGCGCTCCTTTTATATCCAAGTTTGATTGCATCACTTGTTTAAGATGTTTTTGAACATTTAACAGTGTTCCTAGTCTTAGATTGCCTTTGTTTCAGCTTTTTTGGAACATGCCACAGGAAACAATTTCAGAAGGAGTGTATATTTACAAAAAAACAATAAAGTTGATAAGATTAAACTTTAATTATCTTGCCTTTATGTACTGTTTTTGTTTAAACACAAGTCAAAGCAGATTTGCACAGCACTGCTTTCTGTTCGTATTTGTATTTTACTTACTGTCCCAACTTTTTTGGAACTGAGGTTTGTACATCAAAACAATTATAGCCAAATGTCAGTAAACTGAGAGACAAATTTGTGTTGATATAACATTTTTAATGTGGAAATTCGAACTTGAATCAAGTAAATTCAATGCATTAGTTTTAAGCACTAGATCTCACTCAGTAACTCATGCAGGAATTGTCTGTTTCTAACCAAGCAAAGCAAGAGCAAAGCAAAAAAGCACATCAAATGAGTCAAACTGAACCACAGCACACAAAACTTTCATGCAATACGACTATAAATGGGATTTTACTGAAAAGTCCAGTTAAAGTTCATCAAAGGTCAAGACTTCTGTCTGAAGCATAAAGAACATGTACTGTATCTTCATAAGTTCATAGGTGAACTTCTTGCTGAAAGGAAAGCACTAGAGCAAAGGAACAGTGCAGTGGGAGCGTGCAAAATAATGCTTCTCAGTCATATGCACCACAGTAAAACAAACAAAAAACTGCAGCACTGAAAAGCAAAATCCAATCTGCCATATCACAATCACACAGAGGAACAACTTACATCCTTCCAGAACTTTTGCTTTATTCCCCAACAGCAGAGAGGAAAAACAACGACAGGCATCAAAGAAAGTTTAATGTTAGGCTGGATTCAAAGTGTCAATCGACTTGAAAAAGTCTGTAATCTGCTATATGTTAGTCATTTTAATGTAAACAGTGTAATTTTGCTGCATATAATACCACAAAATTACTGAAAACCTTTTCTCAGATATTAAAGGCTTGTGTTTATATCAGAACTTTTTTGTTATAACTTCCTGTTGATTGTGCTCTTCTGAATGGAATCCTTCAATTCACTTTCATTTTAAGTGCAGCACAGCTGCGTTTTCACTTTCAACTTCCCACATTCAGTATATGGTATTAAAATCATATCATGATATCAGTGACCATAATTATAATGATTTTCAGTGTTAATGCAGTGTTGCTAAAACATACTGAAACTGTTTAAAAGGCACTAATACACATTGCAATCACCTTACCACCTGTACTGTATAGATAGACTTTTATTGAATGTTTCATATTTCTTTATAACATCAAAATAAATGGTAGAGTAAGCATCACAGTGAACACTCTCTCTACCAGTTAAGATGATCTTAACACTAAGATACATTAGGAAATCTGAGCCCAGACTTGAACTGCATAAAAATGCATTGTCCTGGCTCGCGCTTTGATGGAGACCACAGCAGTAGACAATTTACTTCTACTGTGACTTTAAAAAAGGCAGTAACTATAGGCAGTTATCAGAAATATTAAAATTTGAGAAAGTATGGTTATCATCTGGTTTTATATCGTGATATAACATTCCAACGGGTAACCATCCCATCCTTATTTTGTATACTCAATGTTCATGTGGTGTTCTCTAGAGGCTCTTCATGGGTCAAGAGCACATTCAATAGCATAATACTTTATGAGCCAAGACTGTAATGCAGAGGAAACACACTGTAGAGTGCTAGAAAGCTGCTGTGAATTCTGAGTCCGCTTTATCAATTGCCATTGCTAACATTCTTCCTCTCCCCTTTTTTATCTCTCTCTCTCTCTCTAATCATTTACAAATGAAATAGCGAGGTTATAGTAACCTTCAGTGAATATTTTCATTCATGCACCTCTGCAGGCTGGAACACATTGTGAACAGAGGCCTTTGCAGTCTACAGATCTTCAGTATCAGGAGACGTGTGATGACAGAAATATCTGAACATGTTTTCAGAGCTGACGAGCGTGAGGGGGAGCTATGTAGGGCACTGCTGAGAGAGTGAGTGGATGTGTGTGTGTGTGTGTGTGTGTGTGTGTGTGGTGTCTGTGCGTGTGTGTGTGTGTGTGTGTGTGTGTGTGTGTGTGTATGTGTGTGTGATGGTTTGTTTTGGTACTCACGGTCAAGAGGGACGTCCAGTGCCTTGACCATGTTACCCAAGAAAAGCACCAGCAGCAGCGTCCTGCAGTCTCTCGGCCTGTCCATCATCAGCATGAGTGACCAATAGGTCTCCTTTAGACAGAGCTTAGTCCCGCCTCTCTCCTCAATCAGGACAACAGCTTACACAAGAACATCCACCTCTGCACAGAGAGAGAGGGAGAAAGAGAGAGAGAGAGAGAGAGAGAGAGAGGGGAGAGAGGGAGAGAGAGAGAGTATCAACAACTGCAATAGAGAATAGGGAGTTGGAATTGGGGACAGAAAGTAAGATGGAGAGATGTGGAGCAGGGAGGGGAGGAGGGAGGGATGTGCAGTCAAAGAATGAATTGCATAAAAATGCAGCAGAGTGAGAAGGACAAGCACAGCAGCAACTGTAAAGCATGATAACACCTAGGAAACACCCACTGTTATATAAATATCACAGAGATTGATGTGAATAGCAGCTTTGCATTCACATCTTGATTTACATTTATTCATTTGGCAGAAGCTTTAATCCAGACCGACTAACGTACAATCCAAGCATACAACTATGATAAGAGCCAACCTCAAAGCAAAGGCTACATGACGAGGTTTTCATTTCAGGAAGAATGCAGACAGTTGTAAGTAGTAAAAGAGGAACCTGCCATGCAAAACAAAAAGCTACAATGTACAGTAAGTCCAGAATAACTCTTATTCACTAAGAACAGCACAGTGTAATCTGATATTATTCCTCACTCATAGATCATTTAAACAAGCAGACAATTCTGCCAGAGGTGCTTATTCTACATTCTTAATCAGTGCCATGGTTGTGTTTGTAAGTAGACTAAGAGATATTTTATTGTAATTTGAATCAGGGCTGCACAATATGGACATAAAATGTGATGTTCAGTAAAGCTGTTGGATATCATGATGACAATATGAGAAGTATTATATCATGATTGGAATAGTGTATCTCTGACTGGGTGTGCAGCAAATACAGACCCTTACTCACCCTAAATCTAACGACCTCTCATTCACGCACAAAATACAAAATTACAAAGCGGCATTCACTATTGTTCAAAGTGCAAAATAAAAATAAAGAAATACTAACAGTAGGTACTATGTACAACACAATTGCAAGCACATTATTTGTACGCTTTAAGGCCAAAAAGCAGTCAGCTGGCCCTGAACAGTTTTTTCTACATAGACCTACATCACACATTTAACACACAACACTGATAGTGACAACAGTCATCACATTTGAAGCTGTTTTTACAGGTTAGTATTTAAGGATTTTCCAGCTGTGCACGTGCATGTTTTGTTATTGGCTCTCTAGTTGAGTGGTTAAGTCTTGGGTTCAAACCCCCCTCTCACTGCTCTAATATTAGGCATGCCAATCACCAATCTAGTTACATACTCTATGAGTATGTAAGACTGTGTATATATCATTAACAACCCTAACTGAAAGTATGATGAAATTATTTTTTTTTGTATGTACAGTCTTTCAGAGAGAAAACTGATCTTTTATGTTTGTCACGTTTTTGATATTGACCATGAATCTATTGACACAGAATGTAAATCAAAAATGAAAGTAATTCACTGCATAACTAATATTAATCAATAATAGGTAATTCAATATCCAATAATGTAACTACAGTTGATTAATATAGCAAAATAAAAGTAATAATTATGAACATCTAAGGGTGAACATGGTGAAAAGTACAATTCAATAACATAAAATGAAAAAGAGAGAACTGCAGTATTGCACAATGCATGCCTTAATCTCATACAATAAGCCATTAAGCAATGAGAAAGCATATGAGTGAAAATAGGATCACATAACATAGGATCACATGATCCTATTTTGAACCTATTTTTGAAATGCACTCATAAATGAGCCAAACTAATCGTTTATACTGTTCTCCACACTGCACTGGTACACAGTCCATGAGCTCATTTAACCATAACAATTACCACAGTCATAGCAATCCTGTTAGCCTACTGTGTTATCGATCGTTCCACATGCCTGAAACACGACTGCACTGTCTAGCAAACCACAAGCATCATTCCGCAGGAATTCAGCCTGTCTCTCGCTAAATGTTTTACAACAATCAATCAAATTAACACTGGATGTGAGTAAAACACTCCCATGTTATTTTATCTGGGCCGTGACATAGAGTCTTATTAAGTTGCTGCCTTCCATTTCTGCCTGCCGACAATTGGAAATGCAGGTTATTTTACTCCCTCACTCTATTAGGTTACACTGGAGACTCAATTTGCTGCCTCTGACTTTAACAGAACTGCATTCTATTAAAGCATCTGCTTAAAAAATCAGACAAATTGCAGCTTTTAACTCTACCTAAGGCTGCTCAGGTAACCAGCTCTTAAGAGACCATACATGCTTTTCTAAATGTGAGATCATGTTTTAAGCTAAAGTCTTGTCAACAAGACCCAATTAGTAAAAGAGGTGGAGTCAATGAATCATCTGCACCCCCATGAGCTGGGTCATTGCAACAGTTGTTCAAATCATTCTACTTACACCTGCAACTTAATGCCACTGAAACTACACATCCTAATAGTTTACACAAACAAATAAAAGATGGACATGCACACATTTAAGGCAATTTTTGTGAATGTAAAAATGCAACCATTGGCTTTAATGTTCACCACTTTTTAGCATTATTCACACAACTCCAATCTTGTAGACCCTCTGCCACATTTTGAACTATTTTCACCCAAAAACACCTGATCCGGTAATTATTAATCTCTTAATCAGCTGAATCAGAAATTTCGTGACAGGGATTTCAGGGGACGATAGGGTTTGTGCGTACTTCCCTCTTATCTTTATAACATATAAATTCATGTTATAGCTTAGATGTAAAATCACATATTTAGCAACATTTTGCCCAAATCCCCAAAAACCCAAAATAAGAAATAAAAACATTATGTTTTTTATAGTCAGAAGCTTCCTAAAACATGTTACCCCCTTAAATGGCCTGGGACCACCGGTGGGCCCAATGTTTTATTACACACTTCTATACCCTAAGAATAGCTCAGCCAGTTTGCATTAAAGTCCCTGTGGTTACTAAATAATAAACCTTAGTATGTAACAAGCCTGGGATTTAATGGGTTAAAAATGGGGAAAAAAAAATCCTTCAACAAAAAAAGAGAGTTTCTGAGAGTTAAGCTAGTGTTATTCACATGAGCTGAAACTGTTCAAAGTCATGCCAGTAGGTACAAACTGAACATGTTAACATACGTCACTAATGTAACATTAAATGCTGGAATCCCTTGTGCCTGGTTACCATGGATTCAGAAGCCCATTCTCCCTGTGGAAACACTTCGCTCTTCAAAGTCAAATGGAACCCCGAATGTAGCTGCCAATCAAATATCTGCTTCTAAAGAGGCTTCATTGTTGCCGGGCAGCATGAACGTTTCATTATGCCATTAACCAACCAAAGGCAAGAACCTTCACTTGCAGACTAACTGACCTGACACTTCTGAATGTCTGGAGGATTCAATTTGTACAGAATGAGAAGAGAGAGGGATGTGGGAAAAAGAGTGGAGGACTATGTTATGTGTGTGCAGCTGGAGCTAGCAGTAGAGAAGGAAACACGTTTACAGCACTCAAGGCTGTTTGGCATTAGCTACTGTTCCAGTCACTGCTTTTCAGCAGGCCTGTGTAATTTCTTTTACTTTAGCTTGACAGTAAGTGCTCCTTCCAGCTGAAGTTAATGGTCTGGGGTAGAAATGGTTCTGTAGATTTTTTAATACATTATATTGCTCCAGTTCTCTGTCATCATACTGAAGTGCATAAAAACAAGAGTTGGTACCCAGAGCTACTTTTCCATACTGTTAAATGATTAGTGTATCCCAGGCTAACAGAGCATGTGGTGCTGCAGGTCCATTATGATACCAGATTAGCCTTATTTATATGTTAATTGCGGCCAAATTGCTACCTATAATTGCAACGTTGATAAGATCCTATGCTGTAGGCCTATCTGACTGCAAGTCGGATGTGTTTAGCTCTGACAGGCTCGCCGATCTCCTTGAGCTGAGTTGGTTCCCACAATTCATCAACTTACAAATTTCCAGTGACACGTTCATTACTCAGCAAAGCACAGAGGCACAGAATGCAATCTTAACATTATTTTAGGAGACAATTAGGCTGCCACAGAACAGCTCCTTCTACGAAAAACAGTATAAACACATCACCCCAGCCATCAAGCCAAAACAATACGGAGGCTAATACAATTTGCCTTATGCTAATATGATGCCATCTGCGTAAAGCAACATGACTTTCATGGGGCAGAGGAGTTTCTAGCAGACGTGCTGTACAAATACAGTTGTATGGAGTGTGGATTTAGCCTGCTTTTGCAGCCTAGCTAAGGCTTCCTGTGTACTTCTATCACTATTACAACATGAGAACCACATCTTAACCCCTTAGTGAGAGAGACAGGCCATTACTATAGACTGCAGCAGCCCAGCTGAATTTCATTTGCCCCTTCATGCTATGTGATTCTATTGTATCCTGTAGTATAATAGCAAATGATGCCTGATCTTAATATGCAGGTCCTGCTAGGACAACAAGCGATAACCCTGGCCTGCTCATCTCCTGCTCGCTTATCACTGCAGGGCATCATAAATTTGCAGCAGCGGGTTTTGGTTCACTGAGTCCTCGGGGAGTTCATGTTTTTGATGGTGCTGGCTAATTTAGCGCTAACCCTGAAAGCTAACCGGGCTATGACTTGGGGGGGATGCTCTCCTGGGATGTAAGAATCATTCGCCTCAGGCACTGAATCACACACAAGCATGCCCAATCACATAGATTTCGCAAACAGTTTGACACCAGGAAAAAAAGTATGCACAATCTCATAGCTGAGACATCCTTATCAGTTTTTCTCTTTCTTATCTTCAGCAATACAAGTGTATGGAGCCAAGATCAGTGCTCTTCCAGGCCATATCACTTTCTTTTAGATCTGATACCAAGTAGTGTGATGGCTAGAATCCCAATACTAATCCTGGCACTTTTGTGCACATAATAAGGGGAAGTCTTCATGATTTCTACAGTGAATATAGATTATACTACTATTACATCACCACTGTGTAATCTAAACCTGTAAGTGCACATTCATTAACATACTGTACTATTGTGCATCATTGTGCGTCATTTTAAATAAACTAA